TCTGTGCTGTTGGCTTTTAATGGACTGTTATATTAAATTACCTTTCTTACCTTCACACATTCCTTCTAGTGTAAGTCAGAAGAATGGTATACAATTATTATATGAGCTTTCTGCAATAGAACATTCATTTCAAGGATGCCAGTCTATTTTAAAATCAGGTTAAAAAGGGAAACCTAAATGAACTTAATCAATGGAATCACAAAATATACTTTAACCTTTACCTACTTGCAAAAGGGGAGCACATTTCCGGAACCTCCACAATAATGCTATACTAACTAAAGCTGAACACCAGCCAAACTGCTGAATACAAGGATGAAATACATATAAAGAAACGGTTTACTTGCTTTAGGATTTGTAGTTATGTTCAGTCAGTTTTGTTACCCAGACACCTCTGCCAGACAGAAAAGCTGGATGCTCAACCTCCATTGCAGCTTAGTTTGCTGAATAGTGATCAAATCACACCCAAGTCTGACATATAGTATACATTTAATAGGGTTTATTTATATCTATAATATTTATTTTTTTTCGTTGTATCTGCCTGAAGTTTTGCTTTAACAGCAGAGCTTATAAACGTTGAATATGGTCAGCTCCTATTTCAAGTGTAGAGTTATGTTTTTATTATTTAGTGATTGACTTGCTCAGCTCTAATATACTGAGGAGTGCACTTTTACAGAAAATAATATTTCAAGCGTATTTGCCGGGGTATAAGACGGCTAGGCGTATAAGACGACCCCCCACTTTTTGTGTAAAAATATAGGTTTTGGGCTATACTCGTCGTATAAGACGAGTATAGCCCAAAACAATGTTTAAATGCACTTACTAACCTCCTTGGCGGTATTCCCGAGTGTGGCTCGGGGTTAATTTTCAGTACCATAAGTGTTAACCCAAGTATACCGAAGTATACCCGGCGTATAAGACGACCCCCGATTTTCGGGCGATTTTTTGGGGTCTCAAACCCCGTCTTATACGCCGGCAAATACGGTAGTATTAAACTATCAATTTTTTTAGCTATAGCTTAGAAATAGCTTAAGAAACTTTTTACTTTAATATCACTTTAAATCCTAACAGATTGTGATATTGGTGGGTATAGGGTTTTACATATGGAGGCTTTCTATTGTTTTTTGTTTTTTTTTGGTTAAACTTCATGGTGTTTTTTCAACCTGACTAACAGTAATATAACTATTGAACTGTAATGTAGCTATGTCCTGTTTATTTAATCATAAACAACAGCTTTTTATCAGCCATTCAAAACTTTACAATGAAATTCCTTCTTTTCTTCACAAAGCAAGTGTCCCTTGGTACAAGTAAATGTACCGTTTGGCACTCCATAGGATACAGGGCTCGCCAGCATGGAGCCCCAAGGCAGCTGCATCTTTTATGCCACAAGGCTCTATGCTTCCAATGAATGAAGCGTTTGAAACCAGCTCTTACCTGCACCATTAAAGGGTTTCTAAACCCTCAGCTTTTTTGCATATATCTACTGCTAGCAAGCAGTAGATATATGCAAAAAGTTAAAAAAAACAAAACAAAAAAAACGCTTTAACAGAGGTTTAAACTTTCCTGTGTGTTCCCTGCGCGCTCCCGTCCAAAAATGTGAAACTACACGGGCGGCCGCAAAGCATCTTGGGGCGGGCGCATGTGCAGTTCACATTTTCGGCAGGGACGCGAGGAAAGACACAAGGTAAGTCTATGGACGCATGCACCTGCATGCAGACACCGTGGGAGAGTACATGCCAGCAAGCTCAGAGGAGTCAGCGCCGGATCGGAGGTTCGCCGCAGCATTGGAGAGAAGGCTGAAAACTACAGGAAAGAAGAAGATGATCGGATTAAAAGACATAATTTAAGGTGAGTGCTTTAATTAGCAATGGGGCGAGCGAGGGGAAAAAAAAATTGCCGTTAATGTCACTTTAACAGTTTCTAGCTGTTGCTGAGATCAAATGTTAGTCTGACATAGATCCCTATCAATTCCAGCTTAGACAGGCCTGAACACACATTCCCATCACATCTTCCTCAAACGCTGCCTCAGCAGCAGGGGTTTTCAGTGGACTGATTGAGTGCTGTCCCATCCTCTTGTTGACCATCCCCACTTATCCATAATTAGATTCCTACATTGTGCTACCTTTCCTGAACTATAAAGCTTTAGGCCGGTGTCAATTAACTTTTTTTTTTATTTAAGCAGATTTTCTATTCCCATACAACACATAAGCCCAAAGCCTGTTGATAAAGACCCTTTCTCTGCCAAAACTGACTCTCCCAGTGTTAGTTTTTGCATCTACATTACGACAATCAGTGCTTCTACCATGATGTGTAGATCATAGTTAGAAGCACTAGCACAAAAGATAAGTAGGTTGTGTTGTCATTCTTCTAAAAATTATAAAGGTCACCACTTTAAATACCAGTAGTGCCCAAGGCAAGTCTTTTGTAATGCAATATGACTTTAATTGAAAAATGTATGAATTCAGTTTTTGTAAAAAGTTGTGTATCCAGGAGGGCAGGTCGGCCAGAATCAAGATAATGGGACCTGTTAATGAACATGATTGAAAAGAAAATGGAATAAAAGTGGAGTTGTGGCTTAAAGTGTATTTCCACATTTGCAGCCAAATTGGAATAACACCTACTTTATATTTGTTATATGTTGCTATTCACATAGTGTAACTTAAAATATTAAAACATTGCTGCTTACCTTTTCAGTGATTTCTACTTGCTTAAATATCCTGTCTAACTTCCCCTTATGTAATGTTAAGTGGGGAGCTGTGGAGTGTTTGTTTACCATAATTAACCCTATCTGCACTGTGCTAGCAGATCTAATCATCAGTTGCAAACATGGTCTAAACTATCCTAACAAAGATTTAAAATCCCCAAGGCTTTTTTTCTTTCTTGTGTGCTTTTTGTGGGAAACCCACTCTGTTCCCAGTTTGTCCCTCTGAAATAGTTCAGAATAGATTGCAGTCTTCTGAATAGTCTTGAACTAAAGAAACCACTAAAAAGGTAAATAAAATATATTTGTATTCATTTTTAGATATGCTATGTAAATCGGAACACATAACAAACCTTTAGTGGGAGTTCTAAAATTTGACAAAAGTGGAACTACACTTTAAACATCAAATACTTTTTTCATTTTACCAGTGGATTAAGGATGCAACGTAATTGGTCACTACAGGAAATTACTCCAGTTTTTGTTTCCCTTTTCTTTTATGCAGTTTTTGTAAACCAGGCCCAATATGTTTCCATTATGTACCCTTTTATTTGGCCACAAGTGATCAATCTAGGATTACAAAATTCTAGATTTCCAATGCAGTCAGTGTTAAAGGAGAACTATGGGGTAAGTGTTTTTCTCCATAGTTCTCCTAAGGGTCATGGGAGGACACAAACTAGCATCCTCCCGTGACCCAAAGCTGAGACCGCCGCATCTGGGATGGATCCCGACATTACTGTCGAGATTCACCCAGATGCGTGATTGACAGCTGACTCTGCCTATCTAGAGGCAGAGCCAGCTGTACCCGCCCCCTCCCCCATCCGTTCCGCTAGTCAGAGCTGGAAGATGGGACAGGGGAGGGGGGGAATCCCTGCAGGCAGCTGTAAGTTGCTATGCCTGATGAAGGGACCCTGTGTGGCCCCGAAAGCGCTTGTGTAACTGACATGAGTTTGCAATAAAATCTACGAACTTTGATCCTATAAGGATTTGGTGTGCTGGTGACGTTTCTGCAATTATCTGTATTTGGCGGCGCCATCCGCAGTCATTCCGAGCACCCCTCCCCGATCACGGGGTCATACCGGTAAGGAGTACAACTAGCCTTTTCTTTTTTTCTTAGCTGTGAGTGACAGTCACGGCTCTCTGCAGGGACATAATCGAGAAGTCAGCAAGCGACGGTATGCGTTCGCTCACTTCCCGATCTACTGAGCCGACCTGTGACAGTTTCATTGTCACACGTCGGCTCAAACTATGAGGTTGAGTGATTTTCACTCGCCTCATAGTTCTCCTTTAACCTGCCTATAATGGCATAGCCTGACCTTAATATGTGCTGTGGAATAAAGGTTTTACATTTTTTATATGAAAATATATTCTCACTTTCATGTGCCTTTGACGACATAAAAATTAATTATGACCCCAAGTGCAAACTTTCTTTAATTTTTAGATTGATACTCGATTGCCATTGTTTTGGCATACATGATTTAAAGCATTTGTCTCAGCTTTCAACAGCCAACAAAAATACACCACAATCTTTTTATTTTCACTGTTTTAATTAATTTTGTTGTAATATTGAAATAGATGTACTCCAACCTAAACACAAAAAGATGGTTGTAGACATTGCCAAGTAATGATACTTTGGGTGTGTTATCTGGTATCACACATGACGCATGGTGATTGATGGTAAATTTGATTTCTTTTGATGGGATATTTTCAGAACTAGAGTGCTGCAAAGATTTAAAGTACAGAGGAGGAGCTGGATTGTTCCTTGCCACAACTACCATCTGTCCTTTCAATTATTAACAGTGAACTATTGTATCTTAATCACATATACGCCACCCGTGGTATCCCAATAATTATTATTGTCTGGTTGGTGAAATCATACGTATTTTATGCGCCAGGCTCCCTTTCCCTTATTGAATTTATGAGGGTGTGATTAAGTTCACAGAAAATTTAAATGGTGACAGAATCTCAAGATAAAATGATCTTCTAGCTGTAAATATTTAGTACATTTGATCTTCATTATATTTTTCTTGGTCATTTAACCTTGATTTTTTTAGCCTGTTCACAACAACGTATATATTGTATTACATGTAGTGTGTATATGTGTGTGTGTGTGTGTGTGTGTGTGTGTGTGTGTGTGTGTGTGTGTGTGTGTGTATATATATACTTTTGCCAAACATGTTATTTTAGACTTTTGCCATTTTTATACTGAATGATTCTTGCCAGAGCAGTATACTGTTGGATTTATGTGGAAATGGTGGACACAAGCATATTAGATTCTTATATATTGCTCTATTATCCTTTATAGCTTTCCATGAAGTTTCTGTTTACCCACAGAAGGAACTGCCTTTCTTTATTCACTTCACAGCTGGTCTGTGTTCCTTCACTGCAATGTTGGCACTTCTTACGCATCAATTTCCAGATCTCATGGCAGTCTTTGCGAGAACGGTAAGTGGCTAGTAGTTTTCTTGAATTATTATTGCATTCCATTGGCGCATATTTACTCGTAGCCTTCCTTGTGCCTCTGTTTATTATGCTATACTTCCCTGTATGTATGTTACATGAAAGGAAAAACAAAATGATGGCAACTATAACTGATTGGCTTGCCTTTTTTTGGGTTATGTTCAGAATGATAATTTATTAAGACCATGTATTTTACAATATTGCCCACTGTAACATGAACACTTAAATGCAATGCATCAGGCTATTTGTAGCATTTAAAACGTTCTCTAGATGTTCCCCCCACAAACAATCTCAGTTTTTAACCTATCATCTAGGCGTTTGACTCCTGGAAATCTTGATTCCTTTGATTTTATTTCAAGAATTTGGTTGCTGGGTGACAGGCCAGATATTATAGATCTGGTGGTCTCCCCAGTTTTAAGCCAACCAGTGCATGTATGTTTGATTCGACAGCCCTGCATGAAACACAGACCTGTTATTACCTAAGAGTGCTTTGCACTAGGGGATACATAGGACTGTGGGGGTCTTTGATTTTCTTGTCACAGTACATCCCTTTCTGGTCTAGCAGGACACTGGATCCCCATCCCTGAGGTATCACTACTGGGTATGTAGCCTGTGAAGGCACTGACTTCTCAGCAGGGGAAATGTGGAGGACAACATGGTACTTTGTGCACCACTGTATTTAATATTAGCTTGTTTTTGTCTAGGAGACACCACTGAGCATTTCCTGGGTTGCAGCATCTGAGTGCAATTTAAAGTGGCGATTCCGGGACCTGGAGAGTAGCACCAGCAAGCTGTGCACATTAGCTTCTTTATGGGCCACCATTGCCATTTTGGATTTAGGTATTCTGCCCTTGTCACTTCCTGTTCCACATACTGGAAGCTTAACTGGGTACAGAAAGTGTGAGGTTCTCTTTTCCCAGATTCCCAGCGATCTCCAGCATGCTCTAGCTGCAGTGCACTTTATTGCTTCTCCACTTTGCTTCTGCCAACAAGCACAGCATGGCTAGGGGCTGCTGCTTTGACCTGAACCACAGTCTCTTCACCTACCTAAACCGCTAATGTCAGTGACTAAGGGGACACTCGGTGGGGAATATCTTCCATTGCTAGAAACAGGCCATGTTTTTGCACTCTTGGTGATTTCCTCCTTAAAGGGCCATCACTCCTCTATTGTTTCCCCTTGTGCTGCACACATTACACCTTACTTATAAGGAAAGGAGATTCAGTCGTCCATCTGTGGGTGCCCTATCTGCTCAGGGGCCTTCTTATGCATGCACCCCACTGGTCTTGGACATGATGGGATTTTGAGTGACTCCCTCTGCAGCCTTTTCAAATTGTGTGGGAGCTGCTTACCTATGCACCCTCATCGGAGTCTCTTTTGAGGGCATGTGATGTCCTCTTGCTTTTGACCATTCATTGGACACAGAGAAGTTCTCTATTTCAAGAGTGTGTGCAATGTCCTATTCCAAGACTTATGGCATATGCTCCTCTTTCTCACCCACTTCCTACATGGATGCAGATGTAAAGTTCCCGAAAGTCGCTTGCCCGCATCTGGAGGCTTTTTTAAATTTGGAATTCCCTGTAACGTCCCACCTCGCGGAAGGTGTACCTATGGATCGCAACAGTGGAGGATGGATTAGGGTCAGTATGCAGCAAGCCTCTTATGCCTCTGAATGGAGTAGGGCGGTGAGAGTGCTGCTTCACATCATACCCCGTGTTCATAAATCGTCACAGTATGGGTATGCGCTTTCACCACATGGCAGTGGCCTAGGCAAAGCGCAGCAGTAAATGTCAGCGAAACCACAATCAATGATATAGTAAACTTGGCTATGGTATCAGCACAATCAATGATATAGTAATCTTGGATGTAGTATAAGCACAATTCAATGACATAGTAATCTCCAATATGGTATCAGCAAATGAGATAGTAATCTTGGATATAGCATAAGCACAATTAAATGAGATAGTAATCTTCAATATGGTATCAGCACAATCAAGGAGATAGTAAACTTAGCTATGGTATCAGCACAATCAATGACATAGTAATCTTGGATATAGTATAAGCACAGTTCAATGAGATAGTAATCCCCAAAATGGTATCAGCAAATTAGATAGTAATCTTGGATATATCATAAGCACAATTCAATGAGATAGTAATCTTTGGCTATGGTATAAGCACAGTTAATGTCCCTGGTCCCAATGCAGGGAGACCCAGGTACTTGCGGTTGTACTCGACTTGGTTGTTCCTGGCATCTACAGGCCCACTGCGTGTGGATGTCTCTGGTTGCTCCTGGGTCCGAGTAGGAGGTGAGGAGACGCTGTGTTGATCAGCGTCCTGCCACAATCGTTAGTAGGACGGCGATCAATTAGTGAACCGCGGCTTTAAGCCTGCGGCTCATGTGAAGGGAGGAGGAGCCCTGTGACGCGGCGGCCCTGCTGCTGTCTCTCCTAGACAGGGACGCTCGAGTCCTGTGGCGCGCATGCGCAGAAGGACGTCGGACCGTGCCGCCGGCACGGGTGGCGGCACGAACATTACATTCCCCTGCTCTATGTGCTAACATTTAGTATTTATGTCAGCTCATTCAAATTGGGAAAAATTGGATTGCATCTTAATTTACTCTATCTTTAAAACCATAATTCTGAGTGTTCCACAATGTTTTCACCTCAACTTTCCTTTTTTTTTACAGATGGGCCATTTCACCTCTGTCTGTATATATGCTTAACCAGACCATGATTATTCCAGTGAAGGATTCCCCTTTCTTTAAAGTTCCAACAGACATAGAGGCAAAGCTATCTTGAGGTCTATTTGTAGGATCATGGGGTATTTACTTCTCACACTTTTGGTCTTGACTTTTGTTTCCCAGACCTTGATCAGGAAGTTAAAGTAAATATCTCCAAAGTGAAAGGGATGCCATTTTATTTTTCACTAGTACAAGTGTCACCATTGGAAGATCCCCAGCTACTGTTGTTGTGATGACCATTCAAAATTTGGGGGTTTCCTCTCCCTTTCAGTCCCTGGCACACTGGTCACCTGGACAAAGAGTGTGAATCTCCCTAACTGGGACACAGAGGTGCTATTGGTTGAACTCAATGAACTTATGCCTTTTTTTTTACCTGGCAAACTATGTAAGAGAAACAGGGCTAACCCCATGAAACTTTATCTAACATTAAAAAGTTTGGTTTCATATACATTTTGAGAAGAAATCTTTGCTGAGAAAGCATGGAGATTGACACTGCTTATCCCTTCCTTGGAAAATACTAGTTGCTTGACAGTCATGCTGACCTCTGCCCTTCCAATATACTGACCTGAAAAAAAAAAGGATGCATGTAAGGAGCTCTGCATTTACACTAACTTTACTGACTGCCTGCTTGTTCCAGGTCAGTGGCTCAGAAATTATTGAAGCCAGAGACAGCTAGGAAAGGCAACTAACGTTTCAAAGGAGATCGGCTATGGCAGCTCACATTTTTCTGTCAGCACAGATTTCCAGTAAAGTTGTACAGTGTACACAAATGTACTTAACTGAGATCTACATCCTCACCTTGCTGTCATTATTGAATAGATGTACAGTTTTATTGCCCATAGAAGATCAAAACATTTATGATACCATTGCTAAGGCCATAGCTGAGCTGTGCAAATGAGCTAAATATAACATCAGGTAGGCTGGCTTATAAAGTCTGCATGCCTTGTCTGTTTCAAGCTTGTTTTATTAACTTCATGCACAGTATTTAAGAGCACAAATTTCTATTTAATGGAGCTATTTAAAAGCCCAGTAAAGATTAACCACAGCTTTTAAATATCGGTTTGCACCTGGAGGGGTTAAATTAACAAAACATATTTCTTCCTGGATCTGTGTACTAATTTTTGTCAAAGCAGTTGCAGGCCTGGCAGAGGGGCCTCCTTTCTCCAAACCTCTGCTATGCGTTAAGTGAAAAAATGCAGTTGGACATGGCTGTGATTAATTCTTCTGCAGTCCCTTGCTGGCTGTATTGTAAGCATGGGCTTAGCTATCTTCTCCATCAGTTCCTCTAGGACTATGCGTTCTTGCAGATGAACATAAAAAAAAAAGGGTTCAGAGACCCACCGTTTTGTTATCTGTTACGGTCATGCAGAGCAGTTCTGATGCACATATTATCTGTGTTCTTACTCCGTACAGCAAGAGTGGAGTTAATTTTAAACCCTGATTTCAATCAATAAATTGCCATTAGCTTCGGATAAAAACACTGCAATCCTCTAAGCAAAAGAATAATATATAATTTAGTACTTTTATTACATTAATACACATACTAGGGTGGTGGAGAAGAGGTTAAGAGCATGACAATTAGAATTAAATGTAAAAACATTCTTGAAAAATAGGTAGCATGGGGATATAAACATATATCAAACAGAGCAAAATTCCTTACATATACTATTGCCAAGATAAACTGGTAGTTTCCAAGCCCCCTAAACAAACCCTGCTTACAATCAATTTAGTTTTCTCTATAAACACTGTCTTTTGTCTGTCTGAGTAGGAAAGGCACATGGACAGGCTCACAGCTGCGGCCATATCTGTACATACAGTGATTAGATGTCTGTCTTGTCTTGTGTTATGTCTTCCATTTGTAGGTTAGAAGGAGTGCAAATGTACTAGTGATTTTTTTCTTATCGTATGTATCGGCAAATTTCATGTATTTAAAGCACAAGTAATGTAGTCTATTCTGGTAACTGATACATTTTCTTTGTACTCACATTTTCTGTGGAATTGGTCACATTTGTTACAGTGCTTTAGGACATGTAACCAATATCTTATGTGGTTTTATTGTAACAGCTCTGTGTTTAAAATATTTCAGGGGGATTTTCTAATCGCTCTATAGAGCTGTATTTGTTTCTAAATTGCACAAACATTTTATTTGCCTCTCTCTATATATATTTTTTTTCTTGTTTAAGACTTGCTGCGACATATGACTGACTGTCAGCCCTATTTTCTATGGGTGGTGGTTACTGGGTGATG